AACGGTGTGATTTTTTTTCACGTATTTCGTTTTGTTTTTTTTTATTCTATGACACGCGCCGCGGCATACGGATTGCGAATATGTCGTGATGGGCGTGAAACGGTAGACAGTATTGGGCACGAGGTATGCGATTATATATTATTATTATGCAATTGGCTCGCAAACCGCATACGCGCAGAGACAACAACGATATAATATAACACTCTAACAAGAGTACACACACACGTATATATATATATTATATAGGCACTATTCGTTCGTCGTTCAGCAGAATAGTTATATTCATCTGAACACGGTCAGAGCCTAATTAAGGATTTGTGCGCGATCGTATATAATAAATAAGAGGACTATCGCTTATTCGCACCTCACGCCTGCCGTTATATATATAGAGGTGCATTACATTATATATATATATATATTTATAGGCGAGATTTTATATACCAGAGTGTGTACGCTATTATTATTATTATTATTATTATTATTATTATTATTATGATTATAAGCTATATATGGTACACAAGACGTACGATAGATTATATCCGGCGCGAATATTTATCCCGGTTTGACCTTGGAGGCGCTATTTTTTCTCTTCTTTTTAAATCGTCACCTGTGAAATTGAAAACACTTGTCCCCGGGCGTTGTCATTGTGTGCRCTTTCAAAAATAATACACTATATTATATGGGTAATATTGTAAATGAATATTATCGTAGCTGTTTCCATATCGATCCACAGGGTAGAGTAGGTATGTATATATACTACATATATAGTAACGTGTTATATGTATATAGTGGCATATTATGCAGGTACCTCCAATAAGCTCATTATCTTTTCTATTAGCTCTTCGCTGCTTGCTGTACATGGAGTTGCCGCCTTGGCCTGGTTTCGTCCGTATAGTTATACATTGTATTTGTATATATGCACATTTATTATTATTATTTAGTGCTCGATCGGTTCCTATTTTGTTTGTCGCCATTGTGTCAGTATAATCTTTTTCACTCGTACGCACACACACGCGCGCGTGCGTGCATATACGCATTTGTATGTGGCTGTACTAACTCCTAAAGTCGTAAAACGTAAATTACCCACCCATACCGCCGCGCTACGAGACTAGGAATATAATATGCGGCTGGCGCTGCTGCAGAGCGTGCGCTTGAAACGTATAATACGCGCCATTTTTCTCCTCGACTTGCCGTCGGCACAATCTTATATACGCCGGTCCCATGATGTATATAATATGACTACCGAACTGACTGTCGGTTAGTATATGGTATATATTCATTAATACGCACACACACACATCATACGAATTCCACGATACTCCTACACTTTCTTTACACTCCGAGTGACCGCCGTGTGAAATTAATTTTTTCTTAAAATCGACAGATACATATTATTATTATTATTATACTCGTCATCTAGCTACGYATTACGTTTTTATTTTTTTTCGTTCGACAATTTCTGTGCGTATAATACATCAAACTCTAGGACTCCCACTACTGCCGAAGGTCGGCTGGACAGGAGGCAAAAAAGAGAGCGAACGCGTGTGAGAGGAAGGATATACAGGGAAAAGAGAGAACCTTATAATATATATATTGTTGTTGTGTTCGAGCGCAGTTAACGCGGCGAGATGTCCGGACGGCGACGGGAAGTCGGAACCCGTCTGTGTAGAATAAAGGGTGTGTCAGACATGCAGCATATATAACCCTCATGAGAATTGGAAGCGACGTGACTGATGAGAATCTTCGAAACAAGATTCGAGATGAGAAATAAAAAACCTCTTTGTGCGTGTGTGCTTAGTATGTGTACAATGCTCTTTCTACATCGTTCGGCGTTTATAATAAATATATATATATATATATATTAACAATATTGCATTGTATGATTTTATTATAATATTACGTATCTATATATTATATTCGAGTAAAATCCAATACCCTCGTTTACAATATTAAAATTGTACTCATTTCCGACCATCACGCTACACCATCATCATTCGGTTAGTGTGTATCTATATAATTTATAATAATCAACGGTCACCGTGGCCGGCATAAGTTGTTTCATAACTCTCATACGATGGCACATATCGAAATAGCAACGACGGTTTTATTTACGTCACAACCCGAAAAGAGTAAGTCGATCGATCGGAGTTTCGAAAAATCTCATCGATATAATAGTTGCCTGTATATTATATTTTTATAGATATAATATGTTAYGGCGCCCGAAAGCATGATTTTCTCGTGATGATCCGAATACTCGATAAACGGCCGCTTTCGGCGGATATGTTATTATAATGCGCGTCCGGCCGTGTCAACGTGTGTACCTATCATATGTTTATATAATAGGGCAGTAGGTGTATATATATATGMGTGTAACATATACAATATACATACCTATGTTGTATATAGTAGCCATCATTGTACTTGTACGTATATAATATATACATGCGGCATTCCTACTGCAGTAAGAAATGCGTATGTCCTCGGGTTGTTCGAACGTTATCAATCTTTAAACATTAAAAATATGACAAGCCCCTCTTTTACACGTATAATAATAACCCTCTTTTTTTCATCAAAAATGTCAAAAGTAGGTACTGTTAGCTGCTCGCCAAAGGAAAATAACCATCGTCTCCTGCAGCGCGTTTTCTAAAGTCAACATTATATTTAAATAACCCTGCAGTGTATGTGTATATATATATATATATATATAATATGTTTAAGATGTATATAGTACTCATATTATTATTATTATTATTATATGTACAGCGAGATGCGGATAAACTGTGTGACGTGGTTTATCTCGTACACACACGTGAGTTCCTGAATGTTATTATACTTATTACATCCAATGTATATATATATATTAGGTATTTATTACCATGTTGGTTGTTTATATACCTATTGAATCGTGGACGTATATACGTTCTATATTATTATATGTATATATACCTGCCTACATTGACATGTCGAATAGATAACGAAAACACTCAATCACTGCAGCGGCACTGAAGTATATAAGAGCTTTTGAAATAAATTTATCGTTTGCGGCATTAATATTATTATTATTATTATGATGATGATCATGACGACGAAAACGATGATGGCGATGGTTATCAACGGTAATAGAAAATTTATTTTTCAAACGACATATAATTACGAGTATGGTCTATAAAACGCCATATGTTTCTATCTGCGCGTATTTATTATATTCTACACATATAATATAATATTATAATATTTTATTAATGCGATGATTATAATCATCATTAATCGTGGTATATAAAATATGTAAATATATAGCATAATATTATAATATCAGCTATAATATGTATATTCACCTATATTTGCATACATTATACCTATATAAATGTATTTATTTGAATGAAATGCTATTATGACCACATTTCTTTTTACTCCTGAACTGCCACTTATCAATTTAACGAGGCAGTATGTTGATATGAATCAATATGCATCCATAAATAATAATAAATTTATAACAACGGATATGATACAGTATATAATCGAATTCGACATAATATAAATTATATGACGAAATTTCAAATATGTATATATAGGACACACTTATAGAAATAGTTGGATCCTTTAATTATTTTTAAGGTTTCTTTTTCGCTTAAAATAAATAATAATATATTATACAAATGACGTTTGTTTTTATGTTGAAATGTATGATATTCTTCGCTAAACCTGTCMGACCGAGATGTTAAATTACTTTTTATGGCGGTACATTTTTTTTTCACTATCCCGTATATGGTTGTTATTGGGGTCTTGATTATCCAAAATAATGTAACTGCACATTATTACACAATTTGCTACTTACCATCATATACGTTTCTCGTAGACATGTATATTATATTATGAAGACAGACATCGGGGCGTGTGTACATATACGTGCTTTTATTTACTGCAGCATACAGGCGCCATGGGATTCAATCACGGATTGTGTACTTATTTTATTTTAAATTACTATATATTGATACAATTAACAAACGTTGGAAATCAACGTCCCGCGTTTATGTAACGGTTACTTACCCAGGTTGTGTTCGTGCGCGTAAGAGAAATAACACAAATAATTGTATGTATGTTATCGCATCGTACTACACTATATGGGTAATAATGGAAAAAAATTCGTTGGTGTTTAGAGCGCGTTTAATAATAATTGAAAAGTTTTATGCAATTATAAGATCTACCACGTTTACCGCAAGCAGCTAGTAAGCTTTGGATTTATAGATTTACATTTTTATCGTTACCGTGGTATTCGTGTTTATGTTCTTTACACGTTTAATAATAGTGTATATATACGAACGAAAAGGGCAAATAAATATAATTTAATTACATAAAATTTATAACGATCGCGTTTCGTAATGTAACACGTTTGCACCTATTGTAACACGCAACTGCATGATCGTTATTAGCATATTATATTATATTATTACATCCGACAAAATATGTATTTCAACTTTCAGTGGGAATTATGTTGATCTAAATAGTTACGACTTATACGAGTATATATTATTATCGTGTTTAGGTTACGCGACATAGTGTAAAATATATACATACCTACCTAAATATATTGTGTCATGTATATACACATGTCACATATTATTATATATTTATATTATGTACACACAGTAATATGGTGGCGGCGAAGGTATACCTATATAATGTATAATTGAATGTTTAAAAAGAAAATAACCCAATATAATCATAATAACAAGACATCCGACATTGAGCAGCCCATTATCCGTTCAAGTCGTGTACCTAACACCATGAAAGTCGTCTTACTTTTTTCGATTTTTTTTTATCTTTATTTAACGATTCACCACGAAATGATTTATATGTTGGTCATTACGAAGCGTGTATTGTCATCGCGGTGTTGACGTCCGGTCTTGTATACAAATATATTATATACTTATACCTGTTTGTTTTTGTATAGGTATATATAAAATAATAAATTACACAACTATTATTTGTGTTTGTTCCAGGCATAACAGCTATGATACACCACCAAAAGCAATCTCAGCAGTCCATCCGAGTACCAAAGTCCATTCGTGACCTATCGGAAGACGTTCTCACGTCGGGCGTACAATTTCCAGGTGAGTCAAAAAAGTTGAATAAAAAAAATAAAAAAATGAATAACATGTATTTCTTGCCAGTCGGCAGGACGGCGACGACGTGACCTACCTCTTCGATATACGCGACACATTATAATATACAAATACATTGTATAAGTGACAATATTTCTAGGACCCGGATGTTGCATTTTTATATTTGCATAATATTATATAGCGGCGCTTTCCCGCTGGAGCCAACGATTTGCTGGTTCCATATTCAACGAGAATCGTTCGCGCATATAATATATAACAACATTTTTCCAAATTTTTTTCTCACAATTTTTGTACATTCAAATTCAACACGAATAATTTTCATATACATTCATCGCGCGTAGGTATATAATACTTGTTTTGTGACTGCGCTCTTGCTGCAATTTCGAACATAAAATCTTGCGACATTCAAAATAGAAAACAGAACTGGACAGTATATCTAACTTGTACCGTGTACATTTATGGGCCTGCTCTGTCCTAAATACATATTCATAGCGAGTTACTGTACCTATATAATCGTGTTGATATATTTATCATTTATTTTTTTGATATTATTATTATATTTTTTTTCTAATCAATTCATTGTTATATGGTACTTGAGACCATTATATTGACACTGAGCTCATAATAATATTATAATTAAAATTAAGTATCACGACTGCAGTACGACAACTCAGCAGTTGCTTGCACTTGAAAACGAATAAGGTGAAAAAAAACGCGTTTCAAAAAAA